CTGCCACAATGACAGAGACAGTGGAGATATTTACCTGATCACTTATACTTACCATCAGCAGCAAATTAGGAAGGGAGACGAGGGAGCTAAAGCACCCTAAAAGAATGAATGGCACTCAAGGCAAACTGCACATTCTTACACAGTCGGCAAGCAAAATGTGTAAATCCTGGAAAACACTATACGAGACCCCACAAAGCATCGTCGCCCTGAAAGGCTGCTGACCAGCATTGGCTCAAGTCAAACTTTGCGTTAAATGCAGACTGCAGACCGGGGGTAAAACACAGACTAAGGGTAAAATGCAGAGTGGGGGTAAAATGTAGACTGGGGGTAAAATGCAGACTGAGGGTAAAATGCAGACTGGGGGTAAAATGCAGACTGAGGGTAAAATGCAGACTAAGGGTAAAATGCAGACTGAGAGTAAAATGCAGACTGCAGATTGTAGACCTTTTTAACTATATATGGTGTTATTTCCATTATCGGGTGCTGACCATAAACAGGGTTATTCAGCCTAATCATAGTGAAAGTCAGCTGGCCTGAATATCTCTTCCATTAGACTGAATAACACTCTTGTTACAGTGAGCTCTCAATGATAGAAATGGTGACACATTTTGGTTATATAAAAGATCTACCATCTGCAGTCTGCATTTTTCCCCAGTTCACAGTCTGCAGTCTGCCTTCCGCAGTCTGTGTTTTACACTGACAAAATCAAATAATCATAACTTTTAACTATCAATGTCTCAAATTGCTCTTTATCACAATTGCTACTAATCTCACGATCTGATTGGCTAATTTGCCGTTGTCGATAAGAGTCCAGACAGCGCTGCTCATGTCAATGTGTCACACTCTTGGTCATGCCTTGTGAATCCACAACATTTTGACCACTGTGATGATGCATATCGTTGTCGATAAGAGTACAGACAATGCTAAACCACATTCGATTTGTTAATTAGCTGAGGGATAAAGTATACTCATAGTGGACACCTACATACATGTACATGTGAAAAAGAAATGAAGAAACATAACCTAAGAATAATTCTAAAGTATTATATTGCAGTGGAACCCTGTCTAACCGCCGGTCAGTGTAAATTGGAGACTGCGGACAGCAGTCTGCATTTTACCATCAGTCTGCATTTTATGCCCAGTCTGCTGTCTGCAGTCCACAGTCTGCATTTTACACTGATTGCCTTACAGCCACCCCGTTAATATGGCCACCTCATTATTACAGCCACTTTATTCCAGGTGTAGTCAATCCATAAACCATTAATCAAATATTAATCAATATCAATCAATATCTTTGATTGATTATTAATTGCCAATAGTGATCGATGAAAATCGATGAAGAAAAAAGTTGTGAGCTCGATGGTTATCGATTGTGGATTGTAATTCATTGATAACAATAATTATTGATTCATCGATTGATATCAATTGTTATTGGAAATTGTTTTTGTCCTTTTACATTGTTACACTGATAAAACGTTTGACAAAATTTGTCTGTAATGGTTTTATTGAGTCGTTTTATCATAGCCTGTGTATCTTTCACAATCATTCACAAAATAACAAGAACAGAAACATTTAGGCTTTGCATCTTTCTTTGTCAGTTTAAAACACCGGAAGAAGCTCAGGCTGGAGTAGCGGTGTACAACCCTCCAGTCTCATTGTAATGTCGGCATTAAGATGAAGCAAAATAAACAACAGCATCAGTGTTCTAGTGATTTCAATGATGTAAAAGAGGGAATAGTTTTCAGGATGTAGTTAATTCGGCGACGATGAACGGACATGCCAAGATTCTGCTTTAGACGCCAGAAGACCTGGAGAAGAGATCACTCCACCTGGTAATTAATTTAAAATCGTCATGTCATGTCAATAACTATGCTGAATATGAAAGCCTGTTGCATGTTGTTCTGCATATTAATTATTTTACACAATAATAAAGCCATCAGATCTTTGAGTCCGGGTGGTTATTGTTGATTTTTTTTTCAAGCAATTAAACTATCGATTCCTGAAGATTGTTCTCAATTTTTGCCAATCGATAGTAATTGATAAAGGAATTTTCTGTGAGTTCAATATTTGCTATTTATCGATTGCAGATATCAATTGACAGCAATCGGTGATTGATATCCATCAATGTTATATGGATTGAATCAACTGAATTTTCCGATTTATCGATTGACTACGCCTAGTTTATTCTGGTCTAAACAAAAGCCCAGTCAACCATTTTCCTATTTAAAGTTCCTTTTTAATTCGGCCACCCAGTTAATACAGCCAGAATTTCGTGGCCCATTGGTGACCAGAAATCTTACTTAAAGTAGTACTTTAATCCTCACCCTAACTCATCACTCCGCTCTTCCCACGTAGATCTCCGCTATCAAATCCAAAGCACACGAACAAACAAACATTATATAATGATACCTACCACGTGAAATTTCTTCCATGTCTATATCTCTGACTGGGGCGGAAGTTCCATTCAAGTCACTTAAACAAATTGAACGCCATTTCTAGACTCTTTCTGAACCATCTTTCAGCAAATGCTGTCCTTCTTCGCATGTCAGCGTAAAAGATTGCACACAAAATTACTCTTTCTTGCGCCCTGTCGCCGACATAGCGGACTGAGTGGTATACGCATTTCCCAGCTCTTAGATTCCGGCGGACGGTCGCAGACTTTGAATCAAGCAGGGAATCAAAAGATTCACTTGCAAACTGGCAGATCAATGAGTCTTACGAACACCGTGAAACCACTTATAACACTGGCTGAGTCTAAATTCTAAAACCTTAGGTTGTTATTTACCACAACTGATTCGAAACATCCAAATTCATCGACGCTCCAATGCATGCATGACCCAGCAACGAGAGCAACCTGAGTAGCAGGCCTTCCTAAGGGGAGGGGCGAGGGGAGGAGAAGAAAAGTAAAGGAGGCTTTTCTTCTTACTTTCGTCCCTGCCATCTTTAGCCATGCAGCCGATCAGGAATCAACCTTTTTTCTTGCCCTCTCTGCGATCCAGTTGTAGAGAAATGGTGGACCCCTGTCTGGACCTCCTTCTGGCTCCCTTTCTCGATTCCTCACTGACCCTACAGGAGCTCCGCAATTTTTCTGCCCAAAAAAACATTCTCGTCCCCAGATTTTGATCGCGTAGTCAGCGGACCGTAAATCACAGACAATACGGTAACGCATGCGTAATTTTTGCCCGCATATCTATTCATTCTAATCCTGAGGGAGGGGAGAGAGGGATATATTCTTCGGTGTTGACAGATCGGACTTGACATTCACTTCACTGAAGTTTGGAGATTTAGAGTTTAGAGTTAAAAAGAGAACAGAAAGCCGCCTTGAATGCCGTCGCTTCAAAAACGATTGCAAGCTTGTCTAATATTTTGCCAACGGGTTTCGTTATGCATTATGTGGTGGACCGTCCGTCTAACAAAAGTCAGGGATCGATAGCTGGGTTCTTGCTGTTTCTTC